CATTACCATTACTTTCATTACTTTTTTTTATCAGTACTCGTCGATACCGAATACGGATTCTGTTAGTCCCATTAAGAAAGCCGGGCACCATGTAATGACTCGCTTCCTGATTTCCTGGGAAGCCGGCTCCCTGCTAACTTGTCACCTGATACTGTAAGTCCCATTAAGGAAGCCCCGCGGCGTGTAACGACTCGCTGCCCGGCTTCCTGGTACCAGAAGTTCCGGTATCGGAGCAAGCATCGGGAGTATTTGAGCGAGTACTCGAGCCCGGCACAGATACCGATACAAATATCAGTGCATCCCTAGTTCATAGAAATGTAAAAAGGGTGACCCTCTCCCCTCCCCCCAATAAAAAGAGAGGTTCTAACCCCCAATCTATGCAAAATTAAATGAATAATATTGTCTTGAGTAACTGTTTTAATATCACCCTTCCAAGTTATCCTAAACCTAAAAAGCAAAAGGTGCTACTGACTTCTCTTGCCCCCCTCTGCACTTCATACAGCAAGTATATGACACATTAAGCTGTGCTGATTATATATCCAGACGTGCCATTTCCTACATCACGTTCAAATTTGCATCTATTTTTCTGCAGTGTTGCAATTGTCTCTGCTTTGTGCTTTCCAAACATATGAATTGATATTACACTCTTACAATCTCTTGTAAAGAAGCTCCTAAACTGGCATGGGGAAGGGAGGGACTGAGAGGCATCAAGCCAATCAGGTGTGGGGCATGAAAGCACGGCACATGCTGATAGGAAGAGAGAGTGAGCAAACAGTTGGCCTCATCATTCTGCTACTGCTCTTTGGCTGGGGGTGGAGAGAGGACACTACTGCATTCTTTAACTGAAGGGGTGTCATTAGCTGGCTGTGCAAATCTCAAGACTGGATGGACAGAAATACAAATAATATGGAAGGTAGAATAGGACCCTTTAACGCATCTCATCCATGCACAGAGCGTTTTGTCTGGAGTTCCGCTTTAAATGAGCATGCAGTAGATTAGAATAGATTATGACGCAGCAGTCTGTTGACAAGATTGCTCAGTGACATCTCTGACGTCTTCAAAATGAGATTGCTTTAGGTTGATAGCATGAGTCACTCTCCGTCTGACATCCCCCAGACTAATAAAATCAGGGATATTGTTTCCAGCAGCACAGAAATCAGCACACCAATATCCTTTCCAGGGAGCCCCTGCCATGGCGCTCCTAAGAGGCTCCCTAACAGCAGTGCATGGTTTCAGGATCTTCTCAAGAGCACGGTGATATCTACACACATCAGTGAGCACATTCAACCATGATCCTGGATGGAGAGCCATAAAAGGTCTACAGCCGCTGGAGCACTTTGTCACATAAAAATCATTTTAACTTTTAAACCTGTCCCTGCCTGTTCCTCTCACCAAACAGCTTAAAAACCATCATGTTCTTAAAGTTGAACTCCGGCCTTCCCTTCAGTCTTGCAGTTGTACCGACTCCTCCCCTGGACTGAAATTGCTTCCTCTGATATCACTGCACACTGCGAGCTCCTCTAATTTTCTGGCTGGAGTATGTCCAGCAGTATCTATCTCTTTCCTCCCCAGCCTGACTGTTCCTGCCCTTTCATTCATTTGATTTTAGTTCTTTCAGTCATGGAAGCTCAGAATTACATGTGGGCAATACCTAGGGGGGTCTGCCTGCAAACTCCCTACAAATAAAGTCTTACCTGGGTGTCGTCTGAGACCCTGCTCTGATTACCTGGGTGTCATCTGAGACCCTGCTCTGATTACCTGGGTGTCGTCTGAGACCCTGCTCTGATTACCTGGGTGTCGTCTGAGACCCTGCTCTGATTACCTGGGTGTCATCTGAGACCCTGCTCTGATTACCTGGGTGTCATCTGAGACCCTGCTTCAGACTACAGTCGGGGAGCCTGAGTAAGGGGCCCAGACTACAGTCGGGGAGCCTGAGTAAGGGGCCCAGACTACACCCGGGAAGCCTGAGTAAAGGGCCCAGACTACACCCGGGAAGCCTGAGTAAAGGGCCCAGACTACACCCGGGAAGCCTGAGTAAAGGGCCCAGACTACACCCGGGAAGCCTGAGTAAAGGGCCCAGACTACACCCGGGAAGCCTGAGTAAAGGGCCCAGACTACACCCGGGAAGCCTGAGTAAAGGGCCCAGACTACACCCGGGAAGCCTGAGTAAAGGGCCCAGACTACACCCGGGAAGCCTGAGTAAAGGGCCCAGACTACACCCGGGAAGCCTGAGTAAAGGGCCCAGACTACACCCGGGAAGCCTGAGTAAAGGGCCCAGACTACACCCGGGAAGCCTGAGTAAAGGGCCCAGACTACACCCGGGAAGCCTGAGTAAAGGGCCCAGACTACACCCGGGAAGCCTGAGTAAAGGGCCCAGACTACACCCGGGAAGCCTGAGTAAAGGGCCCAGACTACACCCGGGAAGCCTGAGTAAAGGGCCCAGACTACACCCGGGAAGCCTGAGTAAAGGGCCCAGACTACACCCGGGAAGCCTGAGTAAAGGGCCCAGACTACACCCGGGAAGCCTGAGTAAAGGGCCCAGACTACACCCGGGAAGCCTGAGTAAAGGGCCCAGACTACACCCGGGAAGCCTGAGTAAAGGGCCCAGACTACACCCGGGAAGCCTGAGTAAAGGGCCCAGACTACACCCGGGAAGCCTGAGTAAAGGGCCCAGACTACACCCGGGAAGCCTGAGTAAAGGGCCCAGACTACACCCGGGAAGCCTGAGTAAAGGGCCCAGACTACACCCGGGAAGCCTGAGTAAAGGGCCCAGACTACACCCGGGAAGCCTGAGTAAAGGGCCCAGACTACACCCGGGAAGCCTGAGTAAAGGGCCCAGACTACACCCGGGAAGCCTGAGTAAAGGGCCCAGACTACACCCGGGAAGCCTGAGTAAAGGGCCCAGACTACACCCGGGAAGCCTGAGTAAAGGGCCCAGACTACACCCGGGAAGCCTGAGTAAAGGGCCCAGACTACACCCGGGAAGCCTGAGTAAAGGGCCCAGACTACACCCGGGAAGCCTGAGTAAAGGGCCCAGACTACACCCGGGAAGCCTGAGTAAAGGGCCCAGACTACACCCGGGAAGCCTGAGTAAAGGGCCCAGACTACACCCGGGAAGCCTGAGTAAAGGGCCCAGACTACACCCGGGAAGCCTGAGTAAAGGGCCCAGACTACACCCGGGAAGCCTGAGTAAAGGGCCCAGACTACACCCGGGAAGCCTGAGTAAAGGGCCCAGACTACACCCGGGAAGCCTGAGTAAAGGGCCCAGACTACACCCGGGAAGCCTGAGTAAAGGGCCCAGACTACACCCGGGAAGCCTGAGTAAAGGGCCCAGACTACACCCGGGAAGCCTGAGTAAAGGGCCCAGACTACACCCGGGAAGCCTGAGTAAAGGGCCCAGACTACACCCGGGAAGCCTGAGTAAAGGGCCCAGACTACACCCGGGAAGCCTGAGTAAAGGGCCCAGACTACACCCGGGAAGCCTGAGTAAAGGGCCCAGACTACACCCGGGAAGCCTGAGTAAAGGGCCCAGACTACACCCGGGAAGCCTGAGTAAAGGGCCCAGACTACACCCGGGAAGCCTGAGTAAAGGGCCCAGACTACACCCGGGAAGCCTGAGTAAAGGGCCCAGACTACACCCGGGAAGCCTGAGTAAAGGGCCCAGACTACACCCGGGAAGCCTGAGTAAAGGGCCCAGACTACACCCGGGAAGCCTGAGTAAAGGGCCCAGACTACACCCGGGAAGCCTGAGTAAAGGGCCCAGACTACACCCGGGAAGCCTGAGTAAAGGGCCCAGACTACACCCGGGAAGCCTGAGTAAAGGGCCCAGACTACACCCGGGAAGCCTGAGTAAAGGGCCCAGACTACACCCGGGAAGCCTGAGTAAAGGGCCCAGACTACACCCGGGAAGCCTGAGTAAAGGGCCCAGACTACACCCGGGAAGCCTGAGTAAAGGGCCCAGACTACACCCGGGAAGCCTGAGTAAAGGGCCCAGACTACACCCGGGAAGCCTGAGTAAAGGGCCCAGACTACACCCGGGAAGCCTGAGTAAAGGGCCCAGACTACACCCGGGAAGCCTGAGTAAAGGGCCCAGACTACACCCGGGAAGCCTGAGTAAAGGGCCCAGACTACACCCGGGAAGCCTGAGTAAAGGGCCCAGACTACACCCGGGAAGCCTGAGTAAAGGGCCCAGACTACACCCGGGAAGCCTGAGTAAAGGGCCCAGACTACACCCGGGAAGCCTGAGTAAAGGGCCCAGACTACACCCGGGAAGCCTGAGTAAAGGGCCCAGACTACACCCGGGAAGCCTGAGTAAAGGGCCCAGACTACACCCGGGAAGCCTGAGTAAAGGGCCCAGACTACACCCGGGAAGCCTGAGTAAAGGGCCCAGACTACACCCGGGAAGCCTGAGTAAAGGGCCCAGACTACACCCGGGAAGCCTGAGTAAAGGGCCCAGACTACACCCGGGAAGCCTGAGTAAAGGGCCCAGACTACACCCGGGAAGCCTGAGTAAAGGGCCCAGACTACACCCGGGAAGCCTGAGTAAAGGGCCCAGACTACACCCGGGAAGCCTGAGTAAAGGGCCCAGACTACACCCGGGAAGCCTGAGTAAAGGGCCCAGACTACACCCGGGAAGCCTGAGTAAAGGGCCCAGACTACACCCGGGAAGCCTGAGTAAAGGGCCCAGACTACACCCGGGAAGCCTGAGTAAAGGGCCCAGACTACACCCGGGAAGCCTGAGTAAAGGGCCCAGACTACACCCGGGAAGCCTGAGTAAAGGGCCCAGACTACACCCGGGAAGCCTGAGTAAAGGGCCCAGACTACACCCGGGAAGCCTGAGTAAAGGGCCCAGACTACACCCGGGAAGCCTGAGTAAAGGGCCCAGACTACACCCGGGAAGCCTGAGTAAAGGGCCCAGACTACACCCGGGAAGCCTGAGTAAAGGGCCCAGACTACACCCGGGAAGCCTGAGTAAAGGGCCCAGACTACACCCGGGGAGCCTGAGTAAGGGGCCCAGACTACACCCGGGGAGCCTGAGTAAGGGGCCTAGACTAAAAAGTGTTACCCTCTGTACACATTTAGTTCAATCATACTAAAAACAGACTGAAATGTAAAAATAAAGATCCAATACAGAAATACAAATAATAGGAAACAGTACCTTGAAGGGGTTCACCCTGCCTTGATTGCTGGACACGATCGCACCTACAGAGAGATGGAGTGTTACACACAGACAGCACATGTGATTGGGTAAAAATGTGAAAAAGCTTATAGAAAACACTTACCGGATTTTGCACTCGGCTGCTCCGGTGAAGTAACATTTTTGGCAAATGGATTCATTGCTGTGAAGGAGAACACACAGATTATTTTGGCTGGGGAAAAAAAATGTCATTGCATAAAAATAGTACCGTATGACTCAAATCACCTTTATTTGCTAAAAAATAAAAAGTTAACTTTTTCTTTTTTAATCTGTTATTCAGCGGTGATGTGACCACACAACCTCTATTGCTGGGATTTGTTGTGCTCCTCTATAGCTGGTGATATTCTGCATTGCGCTGTATAATGAACTATTCCTGGGATTTGTAGTCCTCTATAGCCGGTGCCATTCTGCATTGATTGCTGTATAATTTTAAACTTTCCATTTCACTATATTGCACACCACACTTTTTTTTTTTATTTCCACCGCTCCAAAGCTGGCTCCTGTGATGGACTACAACCTCAAAACAAACTAGTAGTCCATCACTGGAGCCATTTTTAAAAATGTATTTTATTGTTTATCCGATTAACCGATTAATCGAACATAATAATCGGCTAACTAATCGATTTTGAAAATAATCGTTAGCTGCAGCTCTAATTGACATCCCTCTTCCCTTTAGCTGGGGGCTTTGGGGGTAAGCCAGTTTAGGGAAGTTGCTGTGTACTACATCACATACAGAGGAGATGTTCCCCGTCTGTGAGCTCTGCGTTCCAGTTTTGATAGCGTGGCTCATGCTGGGAGTCACTGCCAATCAGCACAGCAGAGCCGGGCGAGGGACATGGCGGGGAAACTGTGGACGGGAGATACAGGCACGCCATGCATTGGTACATCACCCTGCATCACAGAGATATAGACTGACCACACCAGCACAGATCTGCTTCTGTCCTTGGCATGGTCAGACTCAGAATGAAAGAGGGAAGATGAGGAACCGGCAGGATCACCAAGAATTTCTAAGCAATTGCAGCACTTAAAAAGCACGGGCTTCCAAAAAACATTATATTGCAACAGCACAGAAGGGGGACTGGCAGGATCACCAGGTATTTCTCACAGACAAAGATATCAGGCTACATTTTCAAACATAGACACACAAACACATAGTGTACATGTAATTTATTTTGGGGTAACATACACTTTAAATAGCCTTGCAAAGAATCTACAATAGAGAAACATTTGCAATTCAGTTTTCTCAGAACCTTGCAAGTTAGAGGAGACCTGAAGGAAATGGATCTTATTGCACCAAAACCGAAGCATCACATTGGCGGATTATTAGCGTCATTCCCAGCCACAGACCTGCTCTGCCAAGTCTGGGTATTTCAGGAGCTTCCTCCGGCTCCACTTCCTCTTCTCCATCCTCGCCATTCATTTCCACGTCTTGCTCTTCTTCTTCTGCTTCTGCTTGTTTCGGACGTGACTCGCCCCACTCCGTGGTCGTGCGGCTGTATCTGAGAGGATAAAGCATATGGAGACAATATGCTTATAATACTATACATTTTAAAGCTTCGAAGAAAGATCTAAAACTGAACGTTGGGCTAAACAAATGTTTCACTAATACAAGAGCCATGTGACCTCTTACTTGAATCTGGGTGCACTTTGGTTCTTTGCGATGTGAGCAGTAATCTAAAATGAAATTAATCCTGCACTTTGCCGCTGTGGAGGAACTTCCTGTAATAAAGACCGATCCCTACTGCTCTCTCTGCTTGTGCAGAATGACTGGTCTTGTCCACGCCCTCTCCTGTAATAAACACTGGTCACTGCTGATGCTGATCTCTCCACTTGTGTAGGGTGACTGGTCTCGTCTCCACCCCCTCCTGTAATAATGACCGGTCACTGCTTCTCTCTCTCCTTGTGCAGAATGACTGGTCTCATCTCCGCCCCATCATGAAGTTTTCTACAGTCTCCTGGGACTCCTCCCACAGCTCTGCTCTCTGCACAGGCCATGTATAGCACAGTGATGACATCACTGCTACTTTTACACTGGCTTCCAATCACTCAAAGGATAAACATTCAAAATATTAACAACCACTTACAACACCATCCACAACTCTGTGCCTGGCTAGATCTCAAACCTTGTCTCAAAGTATCACCCTAACCATCCCCTCCTCCCAAGACCTCCTGCTCTCTAGCTCCCTCATTAACTCCTCCCATGCTCGCCTCCAGGACTTCCCTAGAGTCTCTCCCATCCTCTGGAACTCTTTACCCCAACCTGTCCGGCTATCTTCCCCTCTGACTACCTTTAGGCGATCTCTAAATACTCATCTCTTCAGGGAAGCCTATCCCACCTCAACCATCACATTCTCATACTATTCATCCCCACACAGCTCCCTCCTCATGTAGCACTTCCGCCTCCCTTTTAGATTGTAAGCTCTCAGGGGCAGGGCCCTCCTTACCATCTTGTCTGGAATTGTATTGTGATTGTAATGCCTGCCTTATACTGTAAAGTGCTGTGCAAACGGCTGGCGCTATATAAATTAGATTTAATAGACTAAAAGAAAACGTGAAAATGAAAACACTGACACAACTGCTTTCATTGGAGATCATTTAAATAGCCTTAACTAAATACAGATTACCGCTAATCTTCAATTTACTGAAAGCAGAGGCTGCTGGACGTAATGGATGCGCCACATCTAAGTGATCTGAGGATTACACTGTTTCTTTTTTAGTGGAATTACATTAACAGCCTAATCTGATCAAATGTATATGTGGATTCTAGCACATGGAGATTTACTGATACCACAAACTAAAGGGTGGTTAATTGGAGAGGCGCGAGAGCAGCAGTTCTGTAAAACGCAACTGCATGGAACCCCCGAGCGCATATATTTATCACTGTGGAGGAGGGAGAGTGGTCAGTGCAATGAAGACCGAAGCCATGAAACAACAGCTTCAGCGAACAGATTTCCCTGTTCACAAGGGCATGCATGCTCGTGCAGAGTCCTACTCCCAGGAGGGACAGGTGCAGCTGCCTGTACATACCTATGGGAGGATGCAACTACACACCGACCCATACTTGGAAGCAGACTGCCATTACATGCTGCACCTGTCCCTCCCGGGAGCAGGTCTCTGCTCAGGTGTGCAAGCTGTATAATTGTGCACACACCCATGTGAATGAAGACTAACGGTGCCCAAACACTGTACGATTATCGTACAAGAATAGCGGGAAATCCCGCGATCATACGATAATCGCAAAGTGTATGGAAGGCGTGCGACCGTTTCTACTGTAGGGTCGCATGTCTTCCGTCGAACAAGCATGCTGGAAAACCCGCCGAGAATTGTAAGATTTTCGGCGGGTTAGTGGCGTGCTTGTTCGACAACTGCCGAATGGGCGCACATGCACACTGCCCGTTCAGCATTGCAGTCATCGGAAGCCGCCCCTCAGGGGGGCGGGCTTGCGATGATCGCAAGTATGATCTGCCTGTCCAAGATGGGCAGAGCGTACGTTTTTTTATTACTTCACAACCCTCACAAGACAAAAGTCTTGCAAGGGTTGTTAGTGTATGGCCACCTTAAGGCTCTGTTATTTAAAGCTAAACCTCAGGCTTACCCTTTCACAGTTGCACCGGCAGCTCCTCTCCTGTACTGAAATTGCTTACTCTGATTTCACCGCACATTGTGAGCCCTTTTAGAAGGTGCAGCCTGTCAGGCAGAGCCCAACTCATTTCCTGGCTAGAGGACTTCCAGCATCACCTAGCCTTTCCTCCCCAACCTGACCGTCCCTGTCCCCCATCCCTTTTGTTCATTGGATTTCCAGTTCTTTCAGTTATGGAGGCTCAGCATCACAAAGCTCAGCTTCCTGTTTTCAAGAGGTCATGTGCAGCACCCTGCTGATCCCTGACTCCAGCCAGTGGCGTCACAAGGGGGGTGCGGCCCGCACTCGGGTGACACCATTGGAGGGGTGACACCAAAATGACAGTCATTTTGATGTCAGCCCCCTCTGAAAAGTCAGGCCTGCTTTCAACCTGCTTATAGATCTGGATGCTAGACTGAGGACAAGTTCACTTTAAATCCCTTTGTATCGAGGCAGCCTTAGATAAAACTGCATTCGCTGCTCTGCAATTGAAAGCAAGGCTAGACCAATTACCCAGCATTCAGCTGGCTGCGGAAATCTTCCTCTTCTTCGCTCTCCTGCTCCTGTGCGGATGCCAGCTCGGCCGCCTTCTCCAGGGCCAGCTCACTGAGCCGCTGGGCTAAGATTAGTCTCTTGGAGCGCGAGGCGTATTTAATGGCCAGGTTCACCACGTTCTGAGTCATGAACTCCGCCAGTTCCATGCAGCGGAATTCACGCTCCAGTTTGCAGGACAACTGCGGGATAAGAAGAAGGCAGAGACAAGATGTTTAACCCGACATGTGTGCCAAACTGAACAACAACAAAAAGATTGCGCTGTGAGGTCAAAGTACATGCAGACCACTGGGCACGTCCATCAGAAACAGTTTCCTATTACACACAGGCGTGGTTGTGGAGGAGAGAGCAGAAGAAAAAAAAAAAAAAAAGGCAAAAACATTTTTCCTGAAGTTCCACTGTAAATGCAATTCAAAACACATCAGTATGGAGGGAAAACGGAGTTCAACTTACCGCAAACATTTTCATTAACAGTTCTTGCTGCTCCTTCTGAACTTCCATCTTGGCATTTTCATCACATTCGTATCCATTCTTAGACAAATAGTCAAAGCAATTGGTGAAGATCTGTGACCTCCAGTATTGCTCCTGGGTGGGAAAAGAGATGAATAAGAGGTTGATAAAAGGGATGAATTGCCCTTTTGTAATAACTTAATACAAATTTGAACAAAAAAAAAAAAAAAGCAGATCACCAGCGCTCAGTAATAAAGTTGAATATGTCCCTTTTAATTGGACAAAGAAAGGCTTTTCTGATCACTGTGACGTCTTTGTCCAATTAAAAAGGGACATATTCGACTTTATTACCGAGTGCTGGTGATCTGCTTTTTTGTTCTGTGTTTGCACGGCGCCATCCGTGGTTATCACTACGAGCACCATCTTTCTTGTTGGCATGGAGTGCTGCAAGGTGTGCGGAGGGCTCCCCCATCGATTTACATTAATACAAAGCTGTTCATTTCATGTCAGTTCTGTAAATGACTAAAAAAATGCAGCAGGCATCCCCAGCATCTCTCTTGCTGATATAATCCCTGCTAACCAGCTGTGAGCTAAGGATCCGAGGATGCCTTCTTTTAAACTACTCCATACACCTAGAGCACAAAGTCTCTAGTAGATGTATCCTGACAGCTACCTGTAACCATTTTTTTGTAGTTTTAGATACAGTATGAAAGGTTTTGAACCTCTTTCAGGTTTTCATCACTGGCTGTGTCTCTGGTGGGAAGTTTTACCTTTTCTATTTATCCAGATAGTGATGAGGAATCCAAAAATTACACAGTTGTCACTAGAACAGGAGTAGAGAAAAACCTCTAACGGGGGACACCTGTTTCTGTAACAACCAAGAGGGGTTTTCCCTCTCGTTGGATAGATTACCAATCACTTCATGTTGTGTCTACAAGACAGGAAATTAAGGAAAAGTGCAATGGGATACAAACGGTGCAAAAAAAACAAAACTGACCGGGGTTCTAACCATTCCCTGTACTACCCAACACTAAAGAGGAAATACTTCTGGCTATACATATAACTCTTACAAAGTCTTATTTTCTCAGGTACTGTCCAAGCATGACGACATGACACCTGCTGAAGCATGCCTGTGTTGGTAAATTCATAAATATTAAATAGCAGATGGCAGAGTATATCGGTCATGAGCGTGCCAACCAATGAAGAAGATTGAGAAAACACTGAGGGTCAGGAAAAATGGCCTCTGCTATGGTGGCAGGAGGGACATGCTTAGTGCTGGTTTGTTACACTCAAGTTATGTTTCAAAATAAGTTGAAACAGGCTGTATACAATCTTATTCCAACAGAGCTTACATAATACAGGCTGGATGACTCGATCCTCTCTATGGATTGTTATGTTGTTCTGCAGCCTTCCCCTCTCTCCCAGTCAAAAGGTGACCAAGGTCAAAAGCTATCACAGCAAACAGCAAAGTCCATCAGTATGTCAGCCTTGTGACGGACATAATGTGTGCAGAGCTACAGTTGGAACTTAAACTTTTTCCAAATACAACGCATAGCTGTGGCCATAATATCAAAGCTTGTAAAAGTTTCAGCAGAGGAAAGGCATAGATCAGGGTATACATAGATCAGCGCCCCTCTGATGACTGATGTAAGCTACAGCTGTGGCATTGTCCGATTGATCTCGGACCGCATGACCAGTGAGAAAATTGGGTCCATTGAGGCAATGACGGACAACTCTTCATAACTCCCGGATGTTGATTGGAACCTTCAATTCTTCTTGAGACCAACAACCCTGGCCAGACAGAGGGCCCAGAGCTCTGACAGACAGAGGGCACTATGACTGACATACGGTGTGCATAGCTGTATAGTGGGTACACAAGCTTCACTGGGTAAAACACACAGCTCCAGCCATTATGTGTTGTCCTTTAGCAATCCCCTGAGGTTTTTCTATCATTAGTCTACACAATTCCTCCCATACAGATCCCTTTGGCTATGAAGCCTTTGTCACAAAGTCCCCTGAAAATGCCATTGTATGCTTTTAGTTGTCATGACTTACCTCCATCTGCCCTTTTTCTGTTGTGATCTGACAATAAGGAAGCTTGAAAGGTAGAATAGCCATTGCAGGGCGAGGAAGAGTAGGGGGGAATCTTGAACCTTTGCATGGAATACACCTTTATATAAACAAACAACAACGCTATGCATTAAACATCAGCATGAGGTTTGCAACTCATGGTGTTGCAATAGATCAAACATGGAGTTTTAGTGACACTAAACTCAGGAGTTAAATCTTAAAAATGTATTTCAGGTACCTTAACTATTAATAAAAATGTATCTTATTTGTGTATCACTCGGCTGTAGATCCTCCAATCATCTCTGAATTGGTGCTGACACTGTCCTTCCTTCTGGAGGGGGGCTACCTTTGTTCCCCATGGTCCCTGGGTGTGTTGTAAAGTAGTCACCGCTCCAAGCTCGCTCCCGGGATTGACTACAATCTCATGTTTAGTATAATAATTTGTATTGAGATTGTAGTCTATGATTAGTGTGAGCTTGGAGCGGCGACTACATTACAACACACACAGTGACCATGGGGAACAAGAGTAGCCACCCTCCAGAAGGAAGGACAGCGTCACCACCAATTCAGAGAGGATTGGAGGATCTACATGAGATGAGAGGATCTACATGAGAGGATTGGAGGATCTACAGGATCTACGAGTGATACACAAATAAGATACATTGTTGTTAATAATGAAATCCTAAACAAGTACTTTAACTCCTGATTACCGGGTATTCGCATTGGACGGGTCTTTTCTGCCCGTGCGTGCCCGCTAGGGGGCGCGTGCGAGCAGAAAAAAATTGCCGTCTGGAGACGGCAACCCGCAGATGCTGCAGTGCCGTCCGTCCGTCCGTTTTTTTTACTACGGGCGGACGGCAAGAGGTTAAAAATGAATTCCAGTCATTCCACTAGTGGAGAAGCATGCCACCTAGAGTACAAGACGAGGTATTACACTCCAACTAAAAATCAGCATTTCTTTATTTTGTGTAAATGGCATGTAGGTGTCATTTAGTGCTGGCAGGTAACATTTCAATACAAGAAATATTCTAGGCACCTAAAACATAAAAATTAGCCACATCTGTTTGCATTCAGAAATGTCCATACGCAATTTTTAAATCAGTTTCTACCCAAAAAATAATGGATGCTTGGAACAGACTTCCAGCAGGGGTAGCGAGCTAATCAAAATTAGGTGAACATAAAGTAGAGTTTCACTCAATTTGTTTTCTCTGTGTCATGGCTTTCTCTATGGCTGCATTTGGCTCCTCGGATGAGGGGAAAAACTTTATTAACTTTATTGGCTTTACTGACCTGAGCTGCTGCGGATTCTCATGCAGACCCACCACCCAGTAGTGATCGGACTTTCCTTTGCAGTGTTCCCGGGTGTTACACACTGGTGTCCAGGTGTCCCCCAAACCTCTGTTCAGCAGCCTCACCACGCCCTCTGAATCCACATAACACGGGCTACCTAAACAAGAAACAGAACAAAGAAATAGCCAAATAACCTTAACACAAGCAGCAGCAACAGTACTCCTCTTTAATAGAGACCGGGATAGTTTGGTGCCACTTTAACTTCAGTCACCTAGAAACTGAGATGGTCATGTGACAGGTTGCCTTTTGTTGTAACACACAACAAAAGGCAACCTGTCACATGAGCGAGGAAGAAATATTTTCTGATCCTAAGGCTTCTCCTATCCCGTAATCCAAAAGAAGCAATCTACTGATGTTGTGATGTTTCCTTTATTCTAATATGGCTGCTAACACAGCAGCCATATTAGAATAAAGGAAACATCACAACATCAGTAGATTGCTTCTTTTGGATTACGGGATAGGAGAAGCCTTAGGATCAGAAAATATATTTCTTCCTCGCTATAGCATGGCTGTTGCTGCAAGCTGGGAGGCGTCATGTGAGCGCTCACCAACCAATCAATGGCTCTGCCTTAGCAAACCGTCTAGCTGACGCCAACGCTCACGTTGCTCTTCAGTAACATCTGCGATGTATGGACCTCTGTGCCCATGTGAACGAGCCCTTACTGTATATAAAGAACAGTGATGTGCTTTACAAAAGGGGCTTGGTGCTCTGCCTGCTTCAGGACTCCAAAGCTGGCATAGTGCAATTAAAAGGAGAACCATGGGGTTAAGTCTTTTCCCCATAGTTCTCCTTAGGGTAACGGGAGGACACAAACTAGCGTTCTCCCGTCACCCTTGGCTCAGTATACCGTGAGCTGTAGCCCGCTTTACACTTTAGGTGAGTGAAAAGCACCCCCCTCATACTTCTCCTTTAAAAGGCGACTAACATGACCGGTCAAAGTCAAAGGTGACCGACTCTCCTCCATTCACAGAGCTACCACAGAGAAATCCCTGTGAGGTTGCACAGGCTCAATACCACAGCATGCATTTTATAAATGGCCCACAAAACGCAGGCTGTGGTAATGAGTGATACAATATGCTTTCCGTAATAAGTAGAAGCTTTTGTGACTATCCCAGGACAATAACACAGCACAGCACACCACAGAGAAGAGGTAAAACAAGCAGACGATGACAGCTTCCCAGCATGAGATCTGTAGGAATCCCTTTTGATTGTCCATTGCTGTGACAAATACGGAGGCGCAGGCTCGTCTGTCCCTGTGTTTCCATGCCAGTATTGCACAATAGCAGTCAAAATGTTTTCATAGAGACCCATATCCACTTGCAGATTTACTGCAAGCTGTTACATTAAGTACATTAAGTTAATTATCCAAAACATAACCATAAGCCAATGAAACAAAACCGGAAGCCAATATTATTTTGCCACCTTGTGGTGATTGGGTGAAATGCACTTAAATGCTGAGGCCAAGCAATAGCGAGGGCCCATGCTAATTATCTTTATCTTACAATCACTTATGTGGCTTTACATGAAATGCTGTTCCACAATAATGACCATTATATGCAGGAGCATGGTCAGCATTCATGCTGATGGACTGCTCAGGCACAGAGAGCCATGCAAAGAATCCATTGCTTTTAATTACAGCAGACTGGTGGGCTTTGGCTGAGAAAGAACAGTAATGCTCAATCACTGTGCAGCATTACTAAACAGAGAGCAGATCCTCCATATGTTGATAAGTGTGACTGCACCCATGTGCAAAATACATTTCAGTGTGCAGCGTGTGGTAGGGAGACCAGCCATTCGACTAGTCCAAAAAGGTAGGCAACCTTGGCTCTCCAGCTGTGCTGAAACTACAAATCCCATAATGCTTCTGCCTCTGGGAGCCATGCCTGTGGCTTGCAATGCCTTTTGGGATTTGTAGTTTCAGCACAGCTGGAGAGCCAAGGTTGCCTACCCCTGGAATAGTCAATGGCAGAGACTCAGCAACCAATAAAGAGTCTGGTACTGGACTGTGTGAATGGCAAGGGGTGTGGCTAACAACAAAGCAGTAATTAAGTCTTATGTGAACAGTGCCCCTAAATGGACTACTAGGGTGCATTGATGGCATTTAAAAAGGCATTACCAAGACATTTTGGTGCCTCTTCTTCAGTTATATAATTATTATTTTTTTACAAATAGAGTTCATCTACTTCCTGGTCCATTTCTGGCACAAATGATGTAATCTGTGCCCAAGCGTTGCATCCTGGGAAGGTGACATCAGCAGAGCATTGCTGGGAAATCTCATCTGTAATCTCATGAGACCTCATGGAAAGGCATTTTCCTCCCCTGAGATGATGTGCTCGGTCACATGTCCTAGTCACATGTGCCAGAGTTCCAGGAAGTAAAGGGAGATCTAGTAACCTGCCCTTAGTAAACATGGCCACTGTCAGGAGAATGGGGAGGAAAAGAAAAATAAGGTATGCAAAGAATACAAAGCCGGCAATTATCTAGAAGTATGCGATTGTAGATTGTCATCACTAAACATTTATAAAAAGGTGTGTTTGTTGTCTGGTTTTTTTTTTTTTTTTTAAGATAACTGTAAAGTTCCTCTTTAAGAGACATTCTAAAATGAGACTTGCCTCCTTCATTTTATTGGGCATGTGCATGGACAGGATTTGTTCTTACAGCAAATCTGCACTAGAAATTATAAAAAGATGGCGCCAGCTTTGGCTGCAGGGAGGGTTGTGCAATCCTGCGGTGCTATAAACAGTAAGACAAACAATCCTTTTAAACTGGACTGGCATATGAGGGATCTGCCATGATATCTGGGACTTGGCATGAGGGATCTGCCATGATATCTGGGACTTGGCATGAGGGATCTGCCATGATATCTGGGACTTGGCATGAGGGATCTTAACTTTTTTAACCAGTGAACTGCTGAGTTTACTTCCATTTTAAAGTTCACGTTTCTGACCATGTCTAGTGCTCATCTTGAAGCTTGTTTAAGGTATTTATTGTATACGCTTGATATTCATGCGTTGAAGTTATTCTTACCTTCTGCACTGAAGCCGAGCCAGGACAGGTAACTTTTCCTCGACAAGGGCAGAGGGTCACCGTGCAACACCTGCTTCCTTTTCTTACCAAGCTCCAGAAGCTGCACGCCAAGGCACTGCTCTCCATCAAATCCCGTACCTAGACAGTAACAGATGACATGGTCACACATCTCCCACCATCTGGGCAATACCACCTACTTCAGAGATCTAGATTGGATGTTAAAATTAGACAGTTCAGCCAACATCATTTGAGACCCTTGGTCACTTTTCTGAAATTATCAAGCACAATAAACAAGCCCTGCAGCTGCTAAAATCCGTTGAGAAAACCAAAATGATACCACACACCCTACAACCACGTAAAGTATAATTAAAAGGAGGACTATGGGGTTAAGGCTTTTCCCCATAGTTCTACTTAGGGTAACGGGAGGACACAAACTAGCGTCCTCCCGCCACCCTGGGCTCAGTATACCGCGAGCTGCTGCTCGCGGTATACTGAGACGAGGCAGCTGAAGCGGATCCCGACAATTATCTGGATCCACTGCCCGCCCCCAGCCTGTCACTGGAAAAAAAAGGAATAGCAACAGACTGATGGGGTCATGCCTCTGCTCTCTCCTCCTGTCTATATGTAAATGAAAAACACCCGATTGGCTTCAAGTCCCACTGCTACCTCACTTAAGGTAATCAATGCTGTACAGGGAATTGGCTCCTATCTAAATGGACCCTGTATTTATGCAAGAGAGGGACCTTAGATTGTAAGGTTCTTGCCGACAGGGCCTGATGGGAATGTGCAACTATCTAAAGCGCTGCGTAAATTATCGGTGCTATATAAATACCTGTAATAAATAAAATAAATAATACATAACGTGAATTATTGGAGTGTTTACATTTCTGCCTGGGGAGCAACTTTAAAGCTGAACTCTGTGGAAAAGAAAATAACCTTATACAGTGGGGCTGCTATTGTTGTTGCAATGTTTTACATTATATTGTTCTATCTATTGATTCCAGGTAGTAGGTGTGCTGCCATAGTAGCCTATATATTACAGGCCTTTGGTATGTTCCGCTGTCTGTAGTTAGTAAAGTCCCTGCTACCTTATGCCTGCCCAGTCTAGTTTCTCTGAGATTGCAGTGTCAGGTTATAGGAAAGTAATTGTTTTCTTACACTTAAAAGTAGAAAAACATAAAACATAGTAAAACTATGTAGGATTCAACTTCTGTGCATCATTGAAGAGTTATGTTGTCTGTGGAATCTGCTGTGTCAGCAGGTTGTCATACTGCCCAGGAAGACTGAGATCTAAGATAGCACGCCATTGCATAAAGTGGCATTAGAAATAGAATAGATGATGCACCAACCTCTATGGTAGACTACGAGCAGCTGCTCCCCATGTCCCGACATGCACACCACAGGCCCCTGAAGACTGAAGATCTCCTTCTGAACTCCACCGACGCTAAAGATGCGAAGCAGCAAGGCACTAGTAGCGCAGGCCATCCAGCCCAGGCCAAAACAGACAGCCTGGATGTCTTCCCCTTTGGGCATGTCCACCATCCAGTCTTTGCTGGTGTCCCAGGAGCTGAAGTGCAGGCATTGGAGTTTACTGTGTGTGGAGGGGAAAAGGTTCACAATTAGTCCTGGTAGACATCAGTGGTTCACAGTACAGACCTGTACTAAAGAATGAGCGTCGCTATAACATGACGTTTTCTGAAGGAGAAGTCAGTAATAAATAGATTATATATTTTAGATCTGTGGTTCTCAACTGGTGGGTCGCGACCCCACATTCAGCGGGTCGCCGCATGCCTTGTAGTGCACTAGGTGAGAGGCTCCTCTGCCTCCCCTTAGCGCAGAACTGTCAGTTCTCGTGACGAGCAGCCATTCAAAATATACTGCTCAGCACCGAGTGTCAGCTTGAGGTGGGGTGGGGCTGTGGCTGCGAGGGAGCTCCATCCATACATGCATTCAAAACAGCTCTCTTGCTTGACCGGAGTGATGTCACATTCTGGCTCCCTACACCTCTACAAGCAATGCGCTTATCGATGGAGCTCCGTCACAGCACAAAAGCCCACAATGAACCCCTAATATTTTTTTGAGAGTGTGAATGTCTGCGATTGTGTCTGTGGTTGTGTCTTGTCAGTGTTTTAATCACAAACTACCATGCAATCGCACCTACTGTTTGTTCTGGTGTGGGTGGTGCTTTGAAATGCTATTAGTTTGAATGACACCCCAAACACACCTCCTGCCCATAGTTTTATCATTTGAAATGGAACATGCAGTACCGTAATGCCGTGTATTCCAGTGTGGTGTGACTTGGGTCTCGACTTAATGACCAAGGACAAATGTGGGTCCTGAGGTTTTACAGGTTGAGAACCGCTGTCTTAGATGGACCTACTTGATGTTCGTAATAGCAGAATGGTATCAAAAAAAAATATGAATGTGCAGCACTGGGGCTTTGGCTGAGCTCACTCCTTTACCTGGGTGTCGTGCACTTACCTTGACAGTTCATCGGTGCCCTCACAAGCCAGTAGTACGGCCTCCTGGGACATATCTGCTATAGTATGGTTCAAGGTGTTGGTGAGGTGGATGGCGTGATGTATGGAGGTGTCATGAAATTCCACATCTATGGCATTGTCCTGTTCGTCATTATAACAGCGAATCACTCCAATGGAATTCCACATCTGAGAGGGAAAACCAACTGTAAATATATAACTAAAAGCAGGATTCCGGCCAGAAATAAACACAATGAAAAGAGAAAGCCCATTAAAAGATACAATTACAAAACCAACTTTTACTACAATATGCACAAGAGATTTCTTTTCTGCCACTAGATGCCCTAGGTCTCATGGCCAGCATCGTTCAAGCCCACTTCCCCAGTGCCCAGGTCGTCCTGGAACACGTCAGGGACCCAATGTATTCAAGTCATTACATAAGCAGGGCAGCCAGACAAATAGCATTTTTTCAGAATTGTATTTGGAGGTCTCAGCACACAAATACAAGACTGAAGAATGGCAAGGAAAGGAACTCCATACACATGCCTATACATGAAAGCATACCAGCCGTGTGTGCAGATTCTAGAGTATCACATAACAGGATCTGATATATCTTTGTCGTACATTGCCACTCTTGCGCCTTCCTCTATGGAAGGTGACACTCACCATAAAGCGATGCATAAGATGCGCTGGGGTGGAGCCCGGTTGGAAAGGTTTTTGTGGTGGTGTTGGTATCGGCCCACTATAAACAGGCTTTGAAGGGAAAGATGGAATTGGCTCGGCAGTGGTAGAGCGGTCATCCTCATCGACCACATTCAGCTTTTCCACATCACCAGACTTTAGAGATGGGACATCTAGAGCAAGCAAGTTTAAAAGGAAAATCTGTATGGCATACATGATATAAAAGATGATACAAGTGGAAAGCAATCATTGATAAAGTAGCAGTATGGCCTTCTTACACTAATTGTGTGTGTGTGTGTGTGTAATAAATATATATATACACACACACACACACACACACATTTTTAAGGCACATCTTTGTGCTCTACTAATGTGTTCAACACTATTTATGAATGGGGGAAAAAAAAAACGTGTTATCTTCAATTCCAATTACCTTTTTTTTTAGGTCTGCAACTGCATGGCTCCTCTTACATCATTACTGCCGACAGGTATTGCCCTTAATCAGGGCTTATTCATAGGGTCATCATTATCCCCAACATTAAAGACCTGATTCAGGGTGAAATGCATCAGTGGAGGAGTGATGTCTGGCAGGTGTAATGATGTAAGGGGAGCCATGCAATGGTTTTAATAAAGTTTATTGAAACTGAATTTTTTTAAAAAACACAGCAGTATGTGGCTTGAATGTTTGTTTTTGATTGCAGGAGGGGGAACCCATACTGGGCTGTGCGATCCCGTGACCAGTGGGTGCATAAAATTCCCCTTAAGCGGTACAACTTGGAAAGAATTGCATGGAAGAGCAGAAGGGAAAAGTCATGCTACTCTCATGCCTCCCCCTTCAAATCACGGGGTTCCCTCTGCTGCATTTAGCAGAAAGAATTCTGTAGGACAACTTAGGCTCCACATCACTGGCCTGCAGATATATGTATACATGTGTGTTATGCGGACCATAAATACATCCACTGGTGTGAACAGGCACTTATTCTGGTCACAACTTCAAAAATGTGGCTAACCCCTCATGTTCCGTCTCGGAAATAAAAAAACAAAACAAAAAGCAATAAAAACTTGGCTATTTATAGACTAAGAAGTATTATAGTATATTGTTTTTAAGTTCTGTACAACATTGTCAATTTTAAAATGTTTAACTTTATTTTAACCACTTCAAGACCAGGTGTTTAGACCCCCTTCCTGGCCAGGCCATTTTTCAGTATTCAGCGCTGCAGTCCTTTGACTGACGTTTATTCCGTCATGCAACGCTGTACTGAAATGAATTTTATACCATTTTTTGGGGACAGATAGGGCTTTATTTTGGGGGTATTTAATCACCACTGGGGTTTTTATTTTTTATTATAATTA